CCGCGGTGGCGGCGGCGCGGCGGGCCGGCCCAACCTGTTACCTCGCCCTGCCCTGGGCCTGGGCCAGGGCCCTGGGAACCCGGCTGGGGCCGGGGCTCGGGACCCCGGACCTGAGACTGGGAGACTCGTGGGAATCCGGGGAGAGCGGACACTGCGGGGAACGGGGACCTCAGAGTCTGGAGGGGTGGAGTCCTGAGAAAGCCGGGCGCGGGGCAGCAGGGCGGGGGCTCCCGGGAGGTGAGGGGCTGGGAGCCCACTGCAGCCTTCTGGGAAGAGGCGGGCAGGGGCCCTCGCTCAGCGGCTTGGCCTGGGGCCCTGGGCCAAGGCAAGGCAGCTCACTTCCTGCGGCTGCCTGCCTCAGTTTCCCCTGGGGATGTTAACGGGGCTGGCGGCCAAAACACAGGTCATTAACCCTTCCAGGACCAGGGAGGTCCTGTCTGCAGGCCGGGTGCAGGCGGGCAGTGGGGCCTGGCTGCGCCGGCTGCAGCGTGCGGTGCCCTGCAGCTGCCTGTCCTCCCAGATGCTGCGGACGCCATGAACTCCCCAGATGGGCCCAGCTTCCCTTCGGGGCTGCTCTCGGGGGGTGCCTCCCCCAGTGGCGACGAGGGCTTCTTCCCCTTCGTGCTGGAGCGGCGGGACTCGTTCCTGGGAGGGGGCCCAGGGCCCGAGGAGCCGGAGGACCTGGCCCTGCAGCTGCAGCAGAAGGAGAAGGACCTACTGCTGGCCGCCGAGCTCGGGAAGATGCTGCTCCAGCGCAACGAGGAGCTCAGGCAGCAGCTGGAGGCGCTGGGCGCCCAGCACGCGGAGCGCGAGGAAGTGAGCGAGATGGCCCTGGGCCCTGGGCGGGAGAGGAGCTGCTGCAGGGCAAGGCCTCCGGCCTTGAGAGTAGGCCCAGTGCTCTGGTGGTGTGGCCCAGTAGCTCAGAGCACCGACTGAGGGCCAGACCTGGACCCCCTCCCAGGGCTGTGTGGTCCTGCACAGCCACTGCTCAGCTCTGGATCCTGGGTCTGGCTGCTCCTCCTGGGGAGGGGAAATCCCAGCCAGCAGTTACTGGGAACCCAGTCCCTGCCTGGCCCCCGGCTAAGTGCTTGCCCTGCATCCTCTGGGGTCGTGCTTGCCTGGCCTACACCCTCAATGTGGAGACGGCTCTCTCTGTCCCAGCTGTTGCCAGCCTCTGCCCAGGGCTCTCAGCTAGTCCCCTACCCCCACCCCCACTCCCACGTCTGTGTCCTCAGCCCCCACCACTGCCCTGAGCTGGCACCCTGCACCGAGCCATCTAATGGGCCTCTCCACATATGTGGCCCTTGATTCTGGGGCCCTGTCACCTACTGTCCCCATCCCTGGCTTCCTGGCTCAGGACCAGAGCCTCAGACCCACATACCCCGTGACCTCGCTGCACTCTCCCCGCACCTGCAGACCCTATGTTCTCCCACACCAGGTGCCTCACCTTGCCGCTCTGAGCTGACACCTGCCTCCATCACTTCTGCCCAGCCTCCCCTCTCCCACCCAGCCCCAGCTTCGCTCTGCCTCCTGGGGCCACTCTGCACGGGGCAGCCAGTGACCCCACAGACCACGCATCACTTCCAAGTCTTCCACAGCTCTGCACCACACCTCCAAGGGAACTGGAACTCCTCACTGTGGCGCGAAGTCCCCCCCGGGAGCCGTCCCACCCGCCCCGCCCCTCGATGGGCCCAGTAGCGAGATCATTGCCTTGGGGCCTTTGTGCTTGCTGTTCCTCCCTGTGGCCCTTTCTCTGGGTGACTTTTTTAAAATCTCTTTTTAAATTATTATTATTTTATTTAACTTTATTTATTTATTTACTTCCGTTTTGACCAGAGAGGGACAGAGTGGTGGCAGAGAGTGAGAAACCAAGCCACCAAGTCTGGGACTCAAATCATGGTTGATCATGTGGGAGTCCAGCGGTGTCAACCACCACACCACCTGCCAGTCCCTCTGGTTGACTTTTTTTTGTTTTTGGCTATAGGGCGCGTGCGCTTGCCAGAAAGACAGAGAGAGACAGAGACAGAAAGCGAGAACTCACCCCCCAGGGGGGATGGTCACGCTGCAATCCCTTCTCCTCCATTCTCCTCTCGGGATCTCGGGCACGCACGCACACGCACCTGGTGTGAATTTAAGCCACCGGGTCCAGGACTTGAACTGCAGTCAACTACATGGGAGTCCAGCGACATAGCCATTACTCTAACTGCCAGTCCCTCTCTGATTGAGTTTTTTAACTTTATTTAACTTTATTTATTTAAATTTGACCAGAGAGGGACAGAGTGGGGGGGGGTAGAAAGCAAGCCGCCAGGTTTGGAACTCGAACCGCAGTCAGCCATGTGGGAGTCCAGCACTTTAACCACCATACCACCTGCTGGCCCCTCTCTGGTTGACTTTTTAATTGACATACAATAATTGATGTAATAATGGTATACATCTATGGGGTCCAATGTGATTTCTTTCTCTTTTTTTTTTTTAAGAATTATTCATTTATTTAATCATTATTGTTTTCGAATTTGACTAGAGAGAGAGATAAAGGACATGGGATAAAGCAAGCTGCCAGGTCCAGGACTAGAACCATGGTCAGCCACGTGGGAACCCAGCACCCTACCAAGCCACCTGCCAGCTCTGATTTCTTTTCTTTCTCAGAATTATTTTATTGAACTTTATTTATTTATTTATTTATTTACATTTGACCAGAGAGAGAGAGAGGGAAAGTGAGAAAGCGAGAAAGCAAGCCGCCAGGTCTGGGACTCAAACTGGGGTTGGCCATGTGGGAGTGTCCAGTGCTCTTAACCACCATGCCACCTGTCGGCCCCTCAGTGTGATTTCTTAAAAGTGACGTATAATTGTATATATCTGTTACTTTTTTTTTTTTTTTTTTAGTTTACTATAGGACATGGGTGCTCTTCAGAAAGGGAGAAAGGAACGTGAGAAATTCCCCCCCTTGGGGGTGACCACGCCACAATCCCTTCTTTTCCATTCTCCTCTCAGGATTTTTGGGCATGCACACACACACACACCCAGCAATGTGTTTCAAGCTGTGAGGTCCAGGATTCAAACTGTGGAGTCAGCCATGTGGGAGCCAGGTACTTTAACCACCATGCCATATGCTGGCCCATGTGTACAATATATATATTGTTTTCTTTTTTGAGATATTTTTGTTACAGGGCACATGTGCTCACCAGAGAGACAGAGGAGACAGAGAGAGAGAGAAAGTGAGAAATCATGTCCCCAGCAGGGGGTGGCCATGTGCAATCCCTTCACCTCCATTCTCCTTTTGGCATTTTGGGTATACACACATGCCTGGCGTGAGTTTCAACGCATCAGGTCTGGGATTCGAACCACGTTTGACCACGTGGGAGTCCAGTGCCTTAACCACTACGCCACCTGCTGGCCCCATGTGTACACTTTTTTAAATGGACATAACTGAGTATCTGTGAAGTACAGCGTGATTTTTTGCCAGTACATACAATGCGTGTGTATACCCAAGCGGCAGCCAGAGGCGAGTGGACATCGGAGCCACTGAGCCATTGGCAGTCTATGTTGGAAACATTCAAAATCCTTTTTAGTTACCCTGAGGCTGGCAGTAAATGGGTAAGTGTACTCAGCCTCCTGTGTCTGTAACACCAGGACATTCCCCTTTTCTCTCTGATTGTTTCCACCCACCTTCCTCTGCCCCCCCACCCCCAGCGTTCCCAGTCCCCATGCCTAGCCTGTTTTCCCTACCAGAAGGCCCCCGGCCCCCTTCCCTCCAGGACCGGGGTGTGCTGTTAGTGGCGGAATCGTCCCCACCGTGTGCAGCTGCCACCGTTCTGCGTCCTTCCTTTGGCACGGCCACGCAGCCTGGTCCTTCTCTTGGCTGCTGTGACTGGGGCCATAGTCCCTCCTGCCTGGCTCCTCACCCTCCTGGAGGCCCAGCAGCCTTCTTCCGCCTGGAGGGAGCTCCCCCAGCTGCTCCCCACTCTTCCCCGTCGCTTTCTCAGACTGGCTTCTCTCTTTCTAAAATTTTTGCTGTAGGGAATGTGGCTTCCCGGAGAGAGGGAGACAGATTTAGCCGGGGTCCTACGCCAGGATCCACCCCCACTGCAGCTCATGGGCAGGCGTGCGCCCAACCTGCTCAGGAGGTCTCTGGACAAGGACCGGCAAACTTCCTGCATTGGGTCAGCCTTGCACGGCACCGCGGTTCAGGGCTGTGCCATGGCCCGGCTCTTCCCAGGCTTCCTTACAGCCTGGCTGTCTTGGAAATTACCAGGTTCGAGCCTGTGTGGCTTGCCTGTGGCCCTCTGGACTCTAAACTGCCTGAGGCAGTAAACTTGGGGTCTTGCTTACTGTTGAGAGCCAGACCCCAGACGGGAATTTGGGACCACGGCCCGGCTGTTAGTGCCGGGAGAATGTGGATCCTAAGGGGCTCGTCTGCACCATGCAGCAGAGCAACATGGCGGTCAGGGCCGTCAGACCTGAACGTGCCCACTTTTCCCCAGGGCAGTGCTGCACCCACAGCTTTGGCTAAGAGCGCGGCCTCCTGTGTTGGCATCTGCTCCACTAACTTTCTGTTCCACCTGGGCCAGGCCTGTAACCTCCTGTGAGCTGAGGGTGATAAGGAGTCTCCCCCTGGTGGACAAGATGGATAGAGCAGGCAGAGTGCTCGCGGGGGACCAGCAGGACCTGCAAGGCCTGTGCCTATCACCTGGGCCCAGGCCCTTCCCCCTTGGAGGGCCCGAGAGAGCAGCAAGAGCGGGGCCAGGGGCTGCCCCCAGCTTGTCTGCCTCTCTAAGCTGGGTATCTGGGTGTGTCAGGTGCGTCCCCCCGCTGGTCAGACAGGTTTGGGGGCGGGCAGGCAGAGGGCCAGGGTGGGGCTGGCCGGGGTTAATTAGAGGGAGCTGGCTGGGAGGAGCAGGGGAGAGTGCTGGGCCTCAGAGCCCCTGGCACACAGCAGGAGTGTGGGGCCATGGGTCGGGGCTTAAACTCTGCCAGGCTCAGGCGCCAAAAACGACGCTTGCGACCTCGGGTCCAGAAGCCCAAGCGGCAGCCAGAGGTGAGTGGACATCAGGGAGCCACTGCCCCCACCCTGTCCACCCCTCCGCTCTGGCCTGGATGCCCTCCACTGCACCCGGCTGCCTTCTCTGGGTCTGGGTCTCTGGGCTCCACCCTCTTTCATGGCTGTCTTGGACGGACTCCGCAGACCCCTCCCCTCACGCCTGCCCATCTCATGTCCCCCTCTGTCTCCGACCCTCTTCTCCAACCCTGCAGAGGCTCCAGCAGGAGAACCATGAGCTCCGCCGGGGTCTGGCCGCCCGGGGAGCCGAGTGGGAGGCCAGGGCTGTGGAGCTGGAGGGGGACGTGGAGGCCCTGCGGGCCCAGCTCGGGGAGCAGCGCTCGGAGCAGCAGGACAGCGGGCGCGAGCGGGCACGGGCCCTGGGCGAGCTCAGCGAGCAGAATCTCCGGCTCAGCCAGCAGCTGGCCCAGGTGGGACCGCCCTGCCCCAGGCCCTGGCGGAGTGGGTGGGGATGCTGGGCCTTATGCAGGGCCTGGGCTGCTCAGGGCTCCCCTGTCACCTCTAGGCCTCCCGTGCTGAGCAGGAGCTTCAGCGGGAACTGGACGCACTCCGAGAACAGTGCCAGGCTCAGGTCCTGACTGGGGCAGAGCTGAGGACGCGGCTAGAGAGTCTGCAGGGGGAGGTGAGTGCCCCAGGGGCTGGGGGCCACCTGGGCTGGCCCCCCAGCCCACTCCAGCTCCAGGCCTTTTCTAGAACCTGATGCTGCAGAGCCGCCGGCTGGACCTGGAGGCCCAGATCCGTGGCCTGCGGGAGGAGGTGGAGAAGGGCCAGGGCAGACTGCAGACCACCCACGAGGAGCTGCTGCTGCTGCGGAGAGAGAGGCGGGAGCACAGCCTGGAGGTGACATCTGAGGGCAGGCCAGGGGAGGGCAACCACTGGGCCCTACACAACAGCCTCAGTGCTTTCTGGGAGATGAGGCCCGCGCTGGATCGCTGGAAACCCCAGCAGCTGGGCCACAGGGACGGGGGCATTATCCCAAGGGCAAGTGGGAGCCATGGAGGCTGTTGAGCAGAGGAGGCAGGCTCTTAGAATGTATCAGAGCTTAGCAACTGAGGCCAGGGAGGGAGCCAAAGCCAGAGCTCAGCCAGAGACAGGGCCTGAGACAGAGAAGTGGAATGGAAGGAGAGAGTGTGGCTGGTGTCGCCCTGTCAGGAGTTTGCACTGAGCCAGCCGTTTGACTTTGGGGTCCGATTGCCTGGCTTATCCCGGTGTCTTTTCTACTGTCCTGGGAAAGGGGTCTGAGATGGGATGGCGGAGGTCCCTGCCTGGCGGGCCTGTGATGGGGGTAAGAGCGTCAGGCCACTAGTGCTGGATGAAAGCAGTAGGAGTTAGAAGGTAGGGCGGGCAGCAGAGGGCACGGACAGGGTGGGGCTGAGGGAGGGTGATGCCTGGCCGCACCCTGCTTTATAGGCCAGGAAGTTGCTGTGTGCCAGGGGATAGTGCGCCGCCCAAGGCCGCGGGCGACCCAGGAATGGGAGCAGGCCTGGGCCACTGGGGTGCTTGGACGCGCGGCCGGCTGGACTCCAGCGCCCTGTGTACACCCACGCCCGGCTGGCCTGGCCGACCCGCCGCTTGGTCTCCCTCCAACCGACAGCTGGAACGCGCTCGCTCTGAGGCCAGGGAGGCGTTGAGCGCGCTGCGGAGGCTGCAGCGGCGCGTAGCGGAGCTGGAGGAGGAGTCGCGCCTCCAGGACGCCGACGTGTCGGGGGCCTCACTGCAGTCGGAGCTCGCTCACAGCCTCGATGGCGACCAGGACCAGGGTTCAGAGGCACACCGAGACGCCCCGGTGAGCTCCAGGCTTACCAGCCCCATTAGGGCCTTCTGGGAGGGTCCCAGGCTCTGCTACCTGGCCTATTGCTACAAGATCCCACAGCACACCGACCGATTCCTTGGCACACAGAGCGACTCTTCTGGACCACAAACCACTCCGGCCGGGGAGACCGAAGAGGCGTCTGGCCTCCAGCCTTCACCCCAAGAAGAGAGCTTGGAGCCCCCCAAAAAGCGAGCATCCCCCAGTCCGGCGGAGATTCTGGAGGAGAAGGAGGCGGAAGTGGCCAGTCTGCAGGATGAGGTAGGAGTGGTCTTAGTGCTGGGTCAGAGCGCCCCCAGCTGTCAACTTCTCTCTTAACTCCACTCCCGAGACAGCTCAAGCCCCTTCATCTCCAACTTGCAGTGAAGACCTGGTGGTTAAGGTGGTATGGCCAACCATGGTTCAAGTTTCAGATCTGGTGGCTTTTAAATCACTCTGGGCACATGTGCAAGTGTGCCCAAAATCCCAGAGGAGAACGGAGAAGGGATTGTGGCGTGGCCATCCTCCCAGAGGGTGATTTTTCACTTTCCCTCTCTCAGTCTCTGTCTCCTCTCCTGCCAGCTCACGTGCGCTATAGCAAAAACCTTAAACAAACAAAAGTCACCGTGATGCCACCTCCTCCAGGAAGACTTCCTGGACTACCTATCTTAGTCCCACTCCCAAAGATCCTCCCTGTATCCCTGCTGCATGCTTATACTACCCCCAATCAACCTGTCCCACTCTACCCAGCACAGCCTGGGAGACTCAGGATTCATCTCTAAGGGCCCTGCTGCCTGGGGAGTTGGTTAAGCGGGCAGGGAGAACTGGGCCGATCCAGAGCTGGAAGGTTCACGGCCCCCTGCCTTCTGTCCCCCAGATCACACTGCAGCATGCAGAGCTGAGGGCCCTGCGAGAGGAGCTGCGAAGGCAGAAAGAGCTGCGGGCACAGGACGACCTCGACGAGGCCCTGAGTGGCGCACTCTCGGACCGGGACGAGGCCGTGAACAAGTGAGCCTCTGCCACCACCCACCACCGCCACAGCAAGGGGCCTGTGGCCTCGGTTATGGTTATAGCTAGCCCCACTCCAACCCAGGGACCCTCCTACTGCCTTGGTCTCGGTGTTAGCAGCCCCCGCCATCCCAGTTCCCTGTGGCCTCAGCACCCTCAGTCCCTTTCTCCTCCCCAGGGCCTTGGAGCTGTCCCTGGAGCTAAGCCGCGTCTCGCTGGAGCGGGACTCCCTGTCCCGGGAGCTGCTGCGCACCATCTGCCAGAAGGTGGCGCTGACGCAGGAGCTGGAGGCCTGGCAGGTGAGAGGCGGGGCCAGGCCTGGGGGCGGGCCCTGGGCGGGGCCGGCGCGCTGACCCGCCCCTCCGGGCCCGCCTCCCGCAGGACGACATGCAGGTGGTGATCGGGCAGCAGCTGCGCTCACAGCGTCAGAAAGAGCTGAGTGCAGCCGCGTCGACCCCACGCCGCGCTGCGCCCCGCTTCTCGCTGCGCCTGGGTCCTGGGCCCGCCGGCGGCTTCCTAAGCAACTTCTTCCGAAGGACCTGAGTGCCGGCCGAGAGGGCTCTTTCCTCTTCTGGCCAATGAGGCCACAGCGCCGGGACTATCTTCCAAGCAGGGCCAGGGCGGGTGCCCTCCCCAGCCCAGGAGGCTGCACAGGGGCTCATGGGGTCCGGGACAGCTTTGGGGACGGGCCCCAGGTAGGTGGCGGGGCAGGGCTATCTATTTTTCAAATCTATATAGGTCTACCTGTTCTGGGCCCCTTTTCCTGGCATGCCCCAGGGCAGGGGTGGGTATTTATGTATCGAGATCAGAGTAATATATAAATCGCTACCCTGCCTCAGCCTCCATTCTTGGGAAGGAAGCACACGGAAGGAAAGACTGCAACTTTATTGTAAAACAACAAACACAGCAAGCCCCTGGGGTGGGGTGGCAGGTCAGAAGGACAGGGAGAAGGCCCGGTAGCCCAGGTTGGTGAAGACATCCACCCGGCAGCTGTTGCCTGCGGCTGTCAGGACCTGCAGGAAAGAGGGTCATGAGTGACCTGTCTATACCCCAGGTTTCCTGGGGTCCCCACAGCCCAGGCTAGACCCACCTTGCACTCGGGTGCAGCAGGCTGCTGGTTGAGGCTGAGGCTGAGCAGCCCCGGGGAGGAGCCAGGCACCTGGGCCCTGAGCTCCCCGCTCAGCTGCCACTGGTTGACACAGGGGCCCTGGCCAGCGGACAGAATCTGTGAAGGACAGGGAGGGGAACCCGGGGTCAGGGCGGGAGAAAGGAGCCCAGCTGGTGGCGGCAGAGGTGACGAGATCTCACCAGGTCCTGATAGAAGGTGACATGCTTCTGTGGGGCCCGCATAGGGAAGACGGTGGTGGGGGTGGAGGATCGGAGGTGCCAGAGAGTAAGGGCTGGGCCCCCTCCACAGACCTGGGTAGGAAAACGGGTCCCCAGTCACTGTGAGCCACGGGCTGTCAGCTTACAGCGTCGGGAGCTGCCACCGTGCCCTGCATTCTGCCCTGCTCACCATCCAGTCGGAGTCAGTTGCCAGGCATCCGATCCAGCGTCCGTTCTGGGGCCTCGCGCACTCCTGGGGGGAGGGGGGAGGTGAGGGTGCAGAGGATGCCGGGGAGGGTGATGGGAAGAGGAGTGTGGGTGGGGCCCTCACCTCATGCTTATAGACCTCGATCGTCTGGACCTCCTTGGCCGCGCGGAGGTCTGTGGGCAGAGAACCATGAGCGGCCCCTACTTGCCCTGGCCTCCCTCACTGCCACTCCGCCCTCCACCCCGCTGTCTCCTTACCCCAAAGCCGCACAGTCCCGTCCTCGCCACCCGACAGCACCTCAGGGCCCCGTTCCCGCAGTGCTAGGCAATGGATGTAGTCTGTGTGGCCCCGGAGGGCACGCTGCAAAGACAGGGGCAGTGCAGGAGACCTGGAAGGAGCCCCTCCCCTGGCGCCAAGGCCCTGCCCAGTGCCGAGACCCTGCTCACCGTGAAGGCCCCGGTCTCGAGGTCCATGGTGTGCAGCTGACAGTCTCCCCCAGCCAGGATGAGGGAATTCTCCTGCAGGGGAAGTGGTGTGGCTACTGTCAAGTCAGGGTAGGGAGAGGTGAAGGGTCAGAGGTGGGCCAAGAATGCTGATAAGGGCTCAGACCTTGGGGACGAGCAGCAAAGCGTTGACCTCTGGCACTTCCAGGCTGGTCCTGGAGAGCAAAGGCAGTCGGTTTCAGGGAGCAGTGACCTTGCCCTGCTGCCCTCTACACGCACCCTGGCTCACCTGTAAGGGGGCTGGCGACGCCACAGCTCCTTACAGCCCTTTGGAGAAGACACCAGGTCACCTCAAGGGCTCTCCCTGGAACTGGGCACCCTTGCCCTTCCCTGAGCTCCAGACACCTCACCTTCTTGAGGATCTCTGCCCAAAGCCAGGCCTTCACCTCCCCATCCCCAGCACTGAGCAGGTGGCGGTCGGTGGAGACCATGCAGTAGACGGGCCCATCGTGGGCTAAAGAGAAATGCAGACGGTGAGCATGCCAGAGCCACCCTCCAGGGTCTCCTGAGCCAGACTCCACGGCTCCACCCACCTTGGAAGGTCACCACGGGCTTCTTACTTTCCTCTTTGGCCTCTGAGCTCAAAGCAGCAGATAAGCTGAAGGGCAGAGGAAAGGGAGTCCAGGAGTCAAAAGCAGAAAGGCCGTGGGCCAGGGCTAACGGGCAGGAGCAGGCTGAGGGTACCTGAAGATGGCGATCTGCCCATAATTGTTGCCAGCTGCCAGGAACTTGCCGCAGGGAGAGACGCTCTGGGAGAAGACAGTCATGTGCAGCCGCTGCAGGGCCTGAAACACCTCTGTCTGTGGGAAGAGGCTGGTGAGGTGGGCCTGGGCCTCCAGCCGCAGACTCCTCTGCTTTCCCTGCGTGGCCTCCCGCTGTGCAGACTTCTCAGCCTTTGTATTTTTTTTAAAGAATTATTTTATTTAAATTTATTTATTTACCCATTCATTTATTTTAATTTGACCAGAGGGACAGAGTGAGAGAGACAGAGAAAGAGAGGCAAAGTGAGAAAGCAAGCCTCTGACTCCGACACTTGAACCGCGGTGGGCCACACAGGAGTCCAGCGCCCTTAACCACCCCGCCACATGCCGGCCCCTTCAGCCCCCTTTTTTTTGGGGGGGAGGTTTTTCGCTACAGGGCGCATGCGCTCGCCAGAGAGACATAGAGACAGAAAGCGAGAAATCACCCCACAGGGGGTATGGTCACGCTGCAATCCCTTTTCCATTCTCCTCTCGGGGAATCTTCCGGCGTGAGTTTTAAGCACCGGGTCCGGGATGCGAACCGCAGTCGACTACGTGGGAGTTCAGCGACATAGCCATTACGCTAACTGCTGGTTCCCTTCAGCCCTCTTTTGAAGTGGCCCACTAAGCAGGCAACTGGCCATACTGTCCCAGACTTGGCTTTAGAAGAGGGTAAGGAAGGGGAGGGTTGAGGCAGTCTCAGAGGAACTCTGAGCAAACACTAGCCTCCTCTCCCAGTGTCCCCAAGCGTCAAGTGGAGATTATGGAGTCTCGTCATTAGGAGAGCTAATGAGTGTAAGTGCTTTACACGTACAAGTGCACAGAAAACCCGATACTCACTTCAGATCCCGCCTGACTTTTAAATCTTTTTTAGTTTTTTTGCCATAGGGCACATATGCTCACTAGAGACAGTGCGAGAGGGAAAGTGAGAAATCTCCCCCCAGGAGGACTGGCCACACAGCAATCTCTTCTCCATTCTCTGGGGTTTGGGAACCCATGCACATGCCCAGCGTGATTGTGGAGCGGTT